GAGGCCGCATCACTCACTCGAGGCCTACAAATCTTAATTATAAATGGCCCTAACGTATACACTAAGCCATTATAGCTTTACCTAAAAGGGTTTTAAGTTTTATAACAATGTTGTGATTTTGTTTTAACGATAGATTAATTATAATTATAATTGGTTGTTAGAATTTTTAATAAATTACTAAGGTTGAGAAGCATACCAAAATTCTACAGGGCTCTTAAATGCTTCTTTATGTTCCAGGGTTAAACTCCTCCTATGCCCCCATCGTTTCTCTCTGTTGGACAGTCCCTCTTGAAATGTCCTATTTCACCACAAAGATGGCATATTGGATTGACGCCAATATTGGTGGTTGAAGTAATGAACTTGACCGGAGTCCTTCAGATGTGGGCGGTATGCACCTTCATGTTGCATCTAATGCAATACAGTTCTCAGCAGACACCATAATGATGATAGTTACACTTGCTACAGTGGGGGAGGTTTCCTAAGTATGGTGTCGTTGGTGTCAAGATAGGAGGGCTGACAAGGGTGTTGGTTGCCCCAACTTGCTACCCTTCGGAAGGTTCTTGAGTTGAGGTACTCCTTTTCTCGTTCTTAATTTTTTTAGATGTTAGGTTTGAGTTATGGAGTATCTTTACACACTGGTACTCATTGCTGCACTTGGCTATCACGACGATCGGGATTATCGATAATGTCTCCACTAACATTTGTGTTTTTAGCATTCAGATAAGCCATGACAGCTGCTACAGCTGTTATAACTGCCGCTTGAAACGTAGTTGCATCTATCTGAAGGATTGGTGTCTTTCCGGTGGGTTGGTTACATTTCTTCGGAGGCATGATTTTGCTACACGATGAGGAAAACAAGCTTGTGAGCAACGATGGTTTCTTCTTGATGTATTTTAATTAATTAATTATGCAAATACATTTTCTGCGTTTTGATCTATGGTTCTCTAAGTTTTGACCCACATCCCTATGATGTAGTCCCGGTAAAAAGGGTGGAAGTAAGTTTATAGAAAAGGTCATAAATCGGGTGTCACGCGAACTAAGTTACATTTAGTTTAGGGAATATCACTCTCCGATTTCAAAAAGATTCGAAAGAAATTCAGAACGGAGACTACATAAGAAAGACTTATGAGTTATTAGGAATAATCACTCTCAATTGAGATTTCGTGATCCGATTTACTGATATTAGTCGCGATGGAAAAAGGCAATAAGCCTAACACATAATGTGAGTAGTGTAACCGCTAACTCACTAAGTTGTATTAATTTATTAGTTGATAAGGTGACACATTAGGTGCAAAAACATTTATCATGTTTTATTTCTGGCTTCTCTCTGTTTTCTGTTTCTGATCTAGGTTGTAATGATTTTGGTTCCCTCCAGGTATCTATATGGGGTTCTTATCCATTGCAGGTATATTGAATTTTCGTGCCGTCTCACTTCTGATTCTGACTCTGATCTTCATTACTTTATAATGGAGAATTGGAATCTTGGAAGTTCAGGCGAACTTATTACTGATGTCCCTGAAAGGTATAGGCACATGATGATTTCTATAGTTTCATTACTGTTCATTGATTTCCTTCTCAGAAATCCTCCTAATGAATCTCTTCTGGGTCCTTGTTGACTCCTCTGTTGATTGCTGAAGTGGATACAACTTTTTAAAGTAGTTTATATGAGAATGGGAATGTCTAAAGAATCTTAGGAGGTTAATAAAACATTTTACTGTGTGATCCTTACTGGGTCCTTCTAGAATTACATAGTGTATACCAATTATATATAGTTCAAATCTAATAGACCTTCGAATATGCGATACAACTCTATATCCACACCTAAACAAGTAAAATGAAGTAAAGTGAAACCACACATTCTGAGTCTATAAGATCGTTATTATATATAATCTTGGGAGCATACACCCTGCAATTATAAACTTACTAGTAAGGGTCTTTTTAGTTTTCACGCAGGATTATTTATGGTACCTAAATACTCCTATTGTATTTTAATTATATGTTTGATTTTAGAATTTATTTACATGTTTTTAGGTTTGTTTTCATTATATAGTATCATAAAATACTCCTATAGTATTTTCAACTTTATGTTTGGTTCTAGCATTCCTTTATGTATATGGTTGGTAAGTTTCCGACTTGTTGCTACACCATCATCACTCCCAAACACATGTTGGTCGTATCTCAAATAAATATAGTTGATCATGCTATATTTATTCCAGATATGATTACATAACTGCCCAGGTTTAACGGTAATGTCCAACATCCAAAAACTTTTATCTTATTCTTCTTGTGATACTTGTTCTAGTTTATATATATATATATATATATATATATATATATATATATATATATATATATATATATATATATATTCTAGGTGTGCTTATAATTTTATAAAATGTTATATTTTAAAGCATAACTCTTGGTCAGAGTGTTTTTATCCCAATGTATTTATAGTTGTATATCTTTTATGATCTGATATACTGAGTTCACTATAAACAATGCTCTGATACCAATCTGTCACACCCCAAACCGAATTGGCGGAAACATTCGTGGGCGTAGGACGTTATGTCAAGTATCACAACACATGCAATATAGTAAGCAAAGTACAACAACCATTGCATTAATAATGTATAAGTTTTTACATAAGTTCAAACATTAAGTATTCAACATCAAAAGTTGATATAGAAAGAGACAAAGGATGAAGCTTGGTACTAGGTTGTCTTCGCAAAAGCTCCTGGAGTGTACCTATCTACTGGATTCCTGAGAAAACAAGTTATTTTGAAAGAGAGGATTAGCATTTTAATGTTGGTGAGTTCATAAGTATTTAGTTATGGTTGTTTAGTTTTAACAAAATGACTAAGTTTACTCCAGAAAGTCCTATACTTCGTGATTTACAACCGGAAAATAGTTTTACTTCATAAAACCGTTCTGATTAAGTATTATTGTACTTATAACCTATCTATACATAATTTTAACCTTTCATAAAATTATAGGGTGAATGATCCCCGTTTAGTTTTAAAAGTAGTTTTAATTCCCCATAAAACCGTTCCTTTTGTTTGTAGTTTTAAATCCCCATAAAACTGTTCCTTTTGTTTGTAGTTTTAAATCCCCATAAAACCGTTCCTTTTGTTTGTGGAAAATGATTAATGCAGTAGTATTTATTAAGCATGCACTACCGATGCAATCACAACCCTGATATTAAGGTTATTAATTTGGGTTACTGCGTGATAAGTTTATAAACCATAAATCTACACTACTGGTGTAATGACAACTTTGTAATTATGATTGTTAATTAGGGTTAATATGTGATAAGGTTGTAACCATGATGATTGGCAGATGTAAACACGACGACCTTCTAGCATCGTAACAGTGTGACATTTGTCACCCCTCGGCCCGCCGACATGGACTGTAGCTAACAGTCGGGATGTGGGATGGTCTTTACCATATAGATCTATACACACAATGCCTGCTCTCCCTCCAGGAGACTCTGGTTACAAAACGTGATACAACAATTGAATTGCTGCATCATGAAGTAGGATTTCACATTTTTATGTTTATTTGTTTTAAGTAAAGATTTAATGTTATCCTTTTCTTAACAAAGTGGTTTTAAACCTGGTGAACTTATCTAGTAAAATAGGTATTTCATTTGTGTCATAAATTATAACTACCATAATTTATATGTTTTATCTGATTAGAATGATAACTCATAAAAGTACCCTTTTGCTTTACTTGTGGCAAAGGTGACTATACTGGATTGAGGTAACTTTTACGTTGCCATATGCATCATATATATAATCAAGAAGAAAACAACCTTCGAACATATGACTTTACCTTAAATACACATCCAAACAAGGAAAAGGAAGTAAGACAATCCATCAGTCCTAAGTCCTCTAGGTCTTAATTATATACTTATACATATATAACCATGATTTATGAACGTTATGAGGTTAATGTTCATATATGTATCTAACATGTATAACTATGGCTTAACTGAAAGTTGGATGATTGATCCTACCCTAAGCCCACAACCAAACAAGGAATAGGAGTTAAGGCGATAGCAATGATCCTAAGTCTGTTAAAGCTTATTTATACATAAATAACGATATGAACATGATTTAATAAACAAAAGTTTTGAGAAATGCAAAAGACAATTCAAAGTTGTTTCTTACATTTTAAAAGGTTTTAATGTGACTCTAAAAGAGTTTACATGACTTAAGGTCATTTGGAGGCATTTGAAAATCTACTATTATTATCACATTCTTTAAAACATAAATAAAGTCTTTTCGGTGTGATTTGTGTTACAAATAGATTATTTAACACAATTTGATTGTGTTCAACTTGTATTCCCCCCATTAAAAGCATTTAAAATCATTTAAAAGGTATATTATAGGGGTATGAACTCACCTTTGGTGGATGATTTGTTTGAAGACCTGAATAAGAGTGTTATACACACGAATGAAGTACCGAAGCACAAACCACTACTAGAAAAACAGCCTTTTACGACACTCATTGCGCGTCGTAAAAGGCTCAGACGACGCGCAAATGCGCATCAAGGAAGGCCCTGTCATAAAGAGAGACGACGCGCATTTACGACGCTCATTTACGACGTGCATTTACGACGTGCGTATACGACACGCAATGCGTATCAAGGAAGGCCCTGTCATAAAGGAAGACGACACGCATTCGCGTGTCGTAACCTTACGACGCGCGTGTTAATGACACGCAATGCGTATCAAGAAAGCCCCTGTCAAGAAAGGCCATGTCATAAATGAAGATGACACACAGTTTTGCGTATCATAATTTTAAATGTTTAAAAAAAATATTTTTTATAGATTTACTAATTTTCAAATTAAATAATACATTAAAAATCTCATAATACAAAATAAAATACCATAAATAACAAAGATAATTCATTTCACTAATATGTCAAATACAAATAATTATTCCAAAGGTGAGTAAATGTTATAAAAAATGAACTCATTTATATACAATTGCATCATCTAGCTTACTATGTGCCAACAACTCTCTGTGCGTTTACTTTTTCTTGAGTCCGTTTCCTCCAAAGCTTTTAGCCATGCCAAAATATGATATCTTGAGTCTCGTATGAATAGATCGTGCACAATAGGTCTAGCTTGTATCATTCCAAATAATTCTAATGGTAGTCTCTATACAAGCCAATAATTTGAGAACTTAATTTTACCATTATTATATAATTAATCAAATAAGAAAACAATAAATACCTTCTGCCATATATGAAAGAGAACAAGATAAACAAGATCAGTATCGCCACTTTCAGTTGCCTTAGTCGGGGCTGTATCTTCTTCCCCAATGCCTAGTAACAAAGCAACCTGGAAAGGTGCTAATTTCCTCCTGCTAGTCTGATATGCATGAGCAGCAACTGCAGCATAAGAAATGCTTTGGCACAATTTTAACTGAAAAATCCCAAAAAGTTAGCCATTGACATTTTTTAGTGTAAACAGGTTACAACAACAAAGATATCATGTAATCTAACACAACATTGAAATACATGCATTTACACACTAAAACATTATTCTAACCTCTATTGTGGTTTTGTTTTGTATTGTAAGATGGATATGCCACCCCAAGACCTGCAAATTTGAATCATGCAACCTTTAGATTCATATAAACATGATGAGTTAACACTATTACAAAAAATTAGCATTTATTGGTAAGAAAAATTGGACACACCATAAGATAATTTCCATACAAACACTTTAAATGATGAGTTAACACTATTATAAAAAAAATTAGCATTTATTGGTAATACAGAAAAAAAATTAACATACCGGGGGTATTTTAGTCAATACCTTGGTTTAGACTTGATGCATAAGATAGAAGGGATGAAATATGCCTAAAGTTAATAGACAAAACCTATACTAATAGAATAATCAGTCCAAAACTATACACAAACACTTGCACACACTTACACATACTCACATATCTTTAAATAGGATCTAATTATGACCTTATATCTCTATTTATTTTTATTTTTCTGGGATAAAATATTAGTTTTCTAATCGTTAGCTAGTTTTCTTTTCGCTAATTACCACAGGTGCTTACTGAAATTCTTCAAAAATTTTTTTTTCAGGGTTATAATATTAGTTTTCTTATCACTAGTTTTCTATATATATATATATATATATATATATATATATATATATATATATATATATATATATATATATATATATATATATATATATATATATATATATATATATATATTACCTCCAATGGCTTTAGTAGCATCCTTAAGGCACCCAGAAAAGTATTGTTGTAGAACACTTTAACTACAGGGTGATTGACTCGGTTGACTACACGATATATGAAAACTGCTAATGCATCAAGAGAAAATGGATTTGATTCACTTCCTACAAAAAATTTAAATAACAACAAATCAAATTTATATCCATTAATAAAAAAATAATAAACAATAAATAATAAAATAAGAACGTTCGGAATCTGGAACAATTGGTACAGCAGATGAAGGAAAGAAGAGAAAAAGTTACCTGGCTCCATACTTCTTCATTAGGGGCATATTGTTCAAGAAAAGGCTCAGCTTCACTCAAGTAGATTGATGATGACAATTGTTTGTTCCCGTATTTCCTTCTTATGTACACTGCCCTAAAAATTTATATAATTTATAAATTCTTTTCTTATTAAAAAAATACTAAATCCTTCTTCCTTCATTACCATTCATCCAACATCTTACTGAGTTGTCTCTGCTTTCCTGGTGATGTATTCCATATCTTCATTTGCCTACATCATGCAATTTGGTCTGATTATGACACAATGATATCAAAATGACATAAATGCCCTTATGTGTGAAGGTTACCTGAGGTAGTAGGTTTTATAGGCATTCGGACCTTCTTTGAAAAGAATCGACAACCCGTTGCGAATCAAGAAAGTTCGCAGCTGTGTCATAAGTCGTAACTGAATTATGTCAGAAGGGTATAAAAGTAATTTCGACCACATAACTAGGGGATAATATATATAATACCTTATATGTAAGAAAATTTCAGCTTGATCATTAGATTTGCATCGTCATCTGCTAAACTGTTTTTTGTAGATGTTTCATTGCCATCTTTGTAATTTTTTCCAATGCCGGGGGTATTTTTGGAAATCTCTGCGGATTTCTCTTTACTTGCCTTGAACAGATTAATTTCAACAAAAAAAACCTCGATATAGTGGCCATAAATCTGGCTTGAATCTCATCTCTTTTTGGTATCTCCTGAAGGTTGAATCACTATGCACATGGATCACCATTTTATAATGAAGATTATCACTAGATATCGAATTAATTTTGTGGAAATTATAGTAACACTTGAAAGCAGCAGGAAAACGTTTTTCTTTCATCAATCTGACCATTTCCTGAATAAAAAAAATATATCATGCAATTAAAATACTGTTTCTGTGTTATTTATATTGAAATTTGATAAAAGAGTTTGGATTACCTTTAATTTAAAGGTAGTATGATCAGAAGGATTTGTTTGTAGAAATTTGGAAACAACTGATTTATCAGCACTTCTTGGAGGTATATCAGCAGCTTCAAATCCAAACCAATCCACATAATTTGGACAAAAAGATTTCCCAACATTTTGAAGAAGTGCCTTTATTTCCAAACCAATCCACATAATAGGGTCTTCTTCTATGATGGCATTGGGAGTGGCTGGTAACCCAAGGGATCTTCTTGATCTCTCTAGTGGCAACCCAAGGGTTCTGTCCCATATTAGCTGTCAAAGTCAAAAAGAATACCATTAAATCTGAACAAACATGAGTTATACCAAATTTACTGATGAAGGGATGAAGTTATACCAAATTTGTTTCTTCAAATGTACAGTGTGTGGGTTATAACTGTGCAGGTTCTTCAGGGAAAGTCTCAAGGAAGCTTTCAAGAAGCTCATCAGCATTATCAATTCTTTCATCACCTTCACCAATTATCCAAATCATCAATGCCTATTAAAAAAAACAATTATTAGTAAATTTCTACATAAAGCAAAAGAGAGAGAGAGAGAGAGAGAGAGAGAGAGAGAGAGAGATTGTAGAATTTAAAACAATTATTTTACTACAGACACAATAAATGATCTAATTAACTGCTCTTGATTGTGATGCCAAAACCAAATTGAGAAGGCAGAAATACAAAAACTAACTATCAATTAAATCTTACTCCACCCCACATGAATTGATCATCAAAATCTGGAATCTGATATACGAGTTCTTTAAAAGATGTTATTATCGTGTCTTAATTTTCGGCCCCTAAAAACATAGACAGGGCATTATGCCACACCAAGCTATGCAATCAAAACTGTATTGAAGATGCTACCAGAAGAAGAACCTGAAATCGTATGCCAATAATATCTACTGAAAACTTCTCCCTACCTACGGACCAATAACCCTATGGATCTGGCACAGTAGAGCCTTAATTCAGATTCAGATCAAAATCAAATTATCATCCAAGGTAAGAAATTGAACAAGGATAACAGTATTTGTGATAACTTAATCGACCTATCAACCAATAACCTGATGCATCTGCCATAACCATGATCGAAGATAATAACATACAGGGAGAAGCTGGAATTATCGTCATGACCCACTTGGATAATAATATATAATCTTTAATTTCTTCCAGATATAAACTAATAACCCTATCGATCTGCCACAGCAAGTGGATTCGTAGATAAATTCTTAATTATAACCTGCATCTCCTCATAGAAGAGACCATAAAAAGAACCTGATAACGCTTAGAACAACATAAGAGAGGAAGAACCTGGAAACGCCTGATCATAAAGATCTGATCTTTGAGATTGAAACTATCGACAGATCAAATCTAAATTACAGAGCGTATATGAACCTGCAAACCTTTGTGGATTAAGATTTTCCATGACGACTTTATAATCATTAACCATCGATCAAAAAAACAAATCCTCCAAATCAAAATATCAAAATATAGAATATAACTAAAGATTTGTGAAGGGATTACGACCCGTTTTAGATAAACATCAGCCATAAAATAATCTTCCTGTTGGTCGAGCATTCACAGCAAGGGGACCTCTGCGAGGTGGCCCTGTTGGTCTTCCACCACCAAATGATCTTCCTTGACCTCGACCACCACCACCACCACGAGCCCTACCTCTCCCTCTATCTCTAATCTTCTTCAAACAGATTTTGGTGCGAGACTGGATCAGCTGCTGATGCAATCGTATACGAATCGACAAAATCAAGCAATTGAAAGAACTGTTATAGGATCGTTGGTGATCTAGGGTTCGAGCATGAGAAAGAAATAGGGTTCGAGCATGAGAAAGAACTGTTATAGAGATGTAGCAAGGTACGAGGTGAGATCTAGGGTTCGAGCATGAGAAAGAACTGTTATATAATCGCTGGTGATTGGATTTCATTGGAGGGTGGAGATGCAGAAGAGAGAACACGCAGTAGAGAAAGGCGGGGCAAGTTCTTCACAAAAAGCCCTAGCTCCGATTGGATTCCGGCATCGACGAGGCCTTTGACGCCGGTTTTTGTTTGGTCGAAATCTTTGAGCTCTAATTGTCGATCGTAGCTTGAGCCCGCTCAAGCAATGGTGGCAGCCATTTTTGTGAAGATGATCGTGTTATATATGCGAAGGTATTCTCTAGAAAGGTGAGTGAGCATCCTTGCAATTGTGGCCCTATGAACGTAAAGTGTTTGATTTCTTGTGAGAAATGAAGCGATAGAGATCGATCTATGGAGGATGTGGGTCGTTCTTTGAGGGATGAAAAAACCCTAGTTTCTTAGACTTTTTGAGTACGGGGTTTTCTAAATTTTAGATTCCCGCGAGGTATTAAGGATGGAACACGATGTTTGATGAGATCGATAAGGAGGTCAGGAGTGGCGGGGAAGCGGATCAGAGAGGAGAGAGAAGGAGGGAGCGAGAGGGGAGAAGATGAAAGATAGAAAGAAGGTAGAGACGACTTTTCAAAATTTTGGGGATTTCGTTTCCCACCTCTACTAAACGCGCCTTTTCATTAAAATTATAAAGCGACAAATATAGAGGACGCACCTTTAAAATAAAGCGCCCTCCGTGTTTTTAATTTATTTTCGTGAGACACTAATTTAAGGGCACTCAGTAATGCGCGACCTAAATTCTTAAATTTTTTTGAAGAGATGACTCTTTTTTAATGTCGCTCTCTAATGCATAACATAAATCAAAGAGCGTCGTGTTTTGCGCGTCGTAAAAGGCTGTTTTTCTAGTAGTGAACGGATCCTAAACATCATATAATGATACATATAAGCATAATATTAGTGTATATAACAACTAGCATGTTAGGATAGACAACCCTTGGACTAGGAAACACTTGAAATGAAGTATTACAATCATATGTGATTGGTTTAAGGGTGTTTACGGCCACACACTAAAGTGTTTACGACCAAGGCTTGATCTAAGAAGGGTTTACGGCCCTAAGGGCATCTCCAACCCACCCCCAAACTCCATTTCTTCCCCCATTATTCTCCAACCCTACCCCATTTTCACCTCCGTTTTTGGAGATATGAATAGTATTCCCCCATATATGGGGGAATACTATTCATATCTCCAAAAATAGAGGTGAAGTTTGGTTGCCAGTTTTAGTCCCTCTTACTTTTATTTTATACATTTTTAGGTTATTTTATCTACTAATTATAATTTAAATGCAATATTTAATATTTATAATATCATGTTATATACTAATTTGTATTAATTAATCATAAATATAGAGTTTAATTAGTAGAGGGGTGTATTTGACAATATATATAAGTTATAAAAATGGAATATTCTTGGAATATACTTTTGGGGATAAGAAATGGGTTAGAAAATGGAGTAGGGTTGGAGACGAAACACTATTTACTCCATTTATTGTGGGGGGGGGGGGGGGGGGGAAATGGAGATGGGTTGGAGATGGTCTAACAAGGTCACTTGAAGGGTTCATAGCCACATGAAGGGTTCATGGTCGGGAACTATTGAAAATGATGCCCTAAAAGGTGTTTGTTTCATAGGGATTCAAGAGTTCAAGAGTTCTAATGGATAACAAGTATCTAGCAAGTGTTGAAGGCTCAAGGTTATGAACCAAATGTAACACCCTGTTTATTTATTAGATAAATAAATAAATTAATGAACAAATGGTAGCCCTAAAATAAATAATTATGTATCAAAAGATGGCCTCGAAGAGCTAACTGTCAAAATCTTAGCTTTGGGGTT